GCGACTTCAGCACTTGTGGCTATTTAGGTGTAATTTCCATTATTTTCGACTTTTACGTCCCTGATAATCAATGTGTCTCCCAAAATGTAACTCCTCCTCAGTGGAAGCTGTCCTCCTTGGCCTCGCGTCCAGCGGATGACTAGTTTTGAATCGCCCACAGCGATGCAGTTTAATGTCATGATGTCACCTATTAAGACTTCCTGCTTTGGAGGAGGTTTCTTGATAAATTAAGGAAGTGGGACCGCAACCAATTATTTCCTTCGTAAACTGAGCGGATTCTAAAATGTTAGACGCTGTGCATAGATACTTGTCAGAGTCAGTTTTATGGACATTCGGCGTTTTCTTTCAAACCGTTGAACATACAACCGCCCTGGTTGCATAAACGCTTGTGATCTAGAGATTGGATATCAGCTATATTTAAAAGGGTCTCATGTGACACAGACTTCGAATAGTTTAAAATGCATCTTAATAAATAATAGTAAGTGTCTCCATTTTGTTAGCCTCGACATTACCAATACACAAAAGTTGAGGCCTGCAATATTCTAGATGCGGGAGCACATACCCGTTATAGAGACGTACCATTACATCCTTCGAATTAAACTTGCGTAGTCTCCGCAGGGCCGATGCGTTGGCGCAAGCTTTTTTAAGATCTTCTTTTATGTGCGCTTTGAAAGTCAGTTTGCTGTTCAGATTCACCCCTAGGATCTTAAGTGTATCTTCCGTCTCTATAGTCCTATCATTAACGATGAAATTAAGATGAAATTCATATTTCAGCTTGATAGCACGCTAAGATCAGAATTAATTAAAATTCAAACTTTGGTAAAGGAAAGGGCGCGTGATAAAAAAGAAAATGGCCAAAAAGCGCCCACCAGCGCGTACGTTTATCCATTATATAATGGACTTATTAATATCTCTAGCTGACTATCAGCATATGGCTTTTTTTGAGAAGGGATCAATAAATCATTTTGAGCAAAATTTTCTTTTTAGGGGTTCTACGAGTATTACCGAATTTTTCTTTGAAAAATGGCTTATTTTGAAACTTTTTTGTACGGAAGCTGTTTTTTAAGTGAAATAATAATTAACGAATAAAACGATCTCGGCCGACATATGGAAAAGTTATTTCACTGTATCAGGAGGTCTCCTGGAAATTTTCCCTGGTCTACAAGTATTACTAAAATGCGATTCTCTGAAAGTAACCCTCGTTCTTTGGCCAATTTGTCTTCGGAGACCGTAGCAGAGCATGGTTGATTGATTTTGAAAGTCCCACGAGTACTAATATATGCAAAACGCCGCCTCCGACAACATTAACACGCAAAAATTGACATAACAATACGCTGAAAGAGCATTTCAAGCTAACTTGACCATCAGTTACTATTCTACCGGTTTGAAAAGGTAACCACTGGCAAGGTTTATTCCAACCAGCTTTATTTCGACAAACACGTTCTTTACACCACAGTAAACAGATCATCTCTGTAATTTCCAACTCCGCTTGTGCCATTGTGCATGATCGCTACAAAGCTAATTGACGACCTCCCTCTAAGGATCCAAAGGTTCCCCATGCTGGTGATGCAGTTTAACATTACAGTGAACATGTCCCAGGGAAAGTACTCTACACTGCAGATGCACTGTCTCAAGGCCCTGGGATGTCTTCTCCCGAGAAAGAGAGTGACCTAGAAACTGAATCAGATTTCTTTGTTAACGCTGTCATGGTAACATTACCAGCCTCAGACCAAATTTTGGACGAAATAAGGCGGGAGTTAAAGAAGAATGACACTTTGAAAGTTGTTATGCAGTATGTCCAGGAAGGATGGCCTACTGACAAGCGGAAACTGTGCGGACCAGTTGGAAAATACCGGAATGAGAGAGGTAACCTTAGCAACCACGACGACTTGCTCCTCAAAGGAAGAAGACTTGAGATTAGTCATTCCAGAAACCCTCAGACAGAACGTCCTCTGATACTGATACACGATGCCCACCAAAGTATTTCAAAGACACGCAAAAATACAGCCTCTTCCGTCTGGTGGTGTGGACTTTCACGTGACATCGAGAAGATGCTGCAGAACTGCGACATGTTCTCGAAGTTTCGAGTAGAAAAGATCGAGCCCGTGAGGAGTACACCTTTTCAAAATTGACCATGGGGAAAAGTTGCAGCAGACTTCTTCGTCCATAAAGGTCACAATTACCTGCTTGTGGTAGATTACTACTCACGCCACGTTGAAATCTGTCTTGTATCTTGAGGTGCCAATACTGCTGAGATCATCCTGCGAATGAAGAAAGTGTTTGGTAGACATGGTATATGCGATACCCTTATCACTGACAACGGCCTTAAATTTACATCCAAAGAAATTTAAAGAGTTTGCAGCTCTGTGGGTGTTCGAACATGTCACATCGTCTCCACTGTATGGACAGTCCAATGGCGAGGTCGAGTGGGCAGTGCAGACCATGAAGGCAAAACTTAACAAGTGCGACGATGAGTACCCGGTACTTTTGAAAAAAGGGAGGTGTAATATAGGCGCGGCCTGGTAACGAACCAAGACGCATGCGCAAGGCGCGAAGGAAACATGGTGTGTGTGTAGTAAGCTCGTTGGACTAATGTCTTCTCTTTGTCTTCGCGCGTACGTAAAAGTACCCAAGTGTCTAGCACGCCTTGGCACATTGCTTGTAGGTAGCTTTAAACAACTGAATAGTTAAGTTTAAAACTTGGCTTTTTTATTTTTTGATCAATTGAAATGGATTGAAATTCGAATAATTATCTCACACAATGTTCCCTCAAGCATTTAAAAAGACGTGGCGCTTGCTCTTAACATGTTAATCGACTCAGGATTTCAAAGGGAAATGTCATTTACCAAGAAAGAAAAAAATATTCTCACTTGTATTTATTTCACTTCCATCGTCTTACAAATAGAAAAAAAAAAAGCTTTATTATCTTTAAACCCACAACAACGCATGGAGTGCGTAACCAATTGAGTAAAAGACTCAGCGTGTCTTCAATATGAGCTGCTTTGACCGGTTTAACCACAGGCCGCCCAAACTCTGTGAGAGTTCGTTGGACTTTGAATTTACAAGAGACTGTATGAAAATAAACAAAATACGTCCTAAATTCCATTTTTTGACAAAAATAGAAATAAAAATGACTTATCTTGTGTTTTTGTTTTTGTTTTTTTTTTACTGTCTCTACGCCTCTAGAGCCATTTGAAAGCCGTTTTATCGACGTTTTAAGATTTGAGTTGTACTAACAGTATTAAGAAAAATGCAAAGGATGGGGACTCTAAAGCCGACAGTCTTAGCTCGAAGCGCCATAAATCCCCTAAAAATGGTCCAAACTCGCCAAAATTGCCGTCAAAGGATCTGTCGATAATTTGTGCTTCTCTTCTATGCTTCTGGAGTTTCAGACTTCATCACAACCGCTAGCGAAGAGCTTGATTTTAAACTTTTTCCATCAGAGTTTTCTTTCTCGGGATGCGTATGACCGGGCACTTGGACGTGACGTAATTAACGGTCGCTCAAAGCTTACGTCACAGAGACAATTTGCCTCCGTCCGGGAGAAGGCACAGTGCATCGCGAGTGTCATCGCGAGTAGCACGGTGGTAGGGTCTCTGGGTCCATTTGACTGTGACAAAGCGCGCCAAAACATCACGCGAGTGCCCGGCTAATTACACACAACCGAGCGATCGAGCAGTCTTCTTCGCCTTCTTCTTGGTCTTCGCTGGTTTTTTAGAAAAATCCTTTCGCTTTCAATTTAAACCTTTTAGAATCTTTAAAACAGTCAGTTTTTTAAAACTACCTATTTCTTTTCGTTTTCATTAAATTTCTAAATTAAAAACAGCGCTCTTGGGCGCTCTAATCGTATTGACTTATTTAAAGTTTTATGTAAATAGTTCTTATTTCAGAACTAAACTTTTGGTACATCTATCGCTAAGTATTTCTGTAATTTAATTAAATATCTGCGATCTGTATTTTTTTACCTTTATAATAGTTCTAACAGGAACTAGTTACAAAATCAGATTTAATAGTACTTAAATGTACTGGCCCAAGCACTGGCCCAAGCTCGAAATATGAGCATCGGCGCGGCGAGCATCGGCATTGTTACGTAACATTCGAAACATAAGGATTTGTATGGGAAAATTAAACCTATCGTTTGTGTAACCTACGAAAATGAAAGGATTTCAATGAAAGACAGCTTCCCTTACTTAAAATGTGTTTTACGTCTCTCCTGTGTAGTCCACGGGCCAATTTATGGCCGTTTTATGGGTTTTTATGTAAACGGTGTTCTCTCTTAAAATACAGCGAGTGATCGAGTGCCATTCGAGTGCCTCCAAAAGCCCATGGCATGACTACGTCATCCATGAGCTAAAAATGAACTTTGGAAAACCCTTGGCTAACAAGTACGTTCTCAAAAACCTTAATTGCAATCCGAAAGAAGGGGCAAAAAGTAAGCATTGTCGCTTGGGTATGATGAAGGAGAAATTGCAGTCAAGTTGAAGATTTCTTGAGAACCTGGTAATTTGCATATAAAAGTCATCCAAAAGATGGTCCCTTGAAAAATGCAGACCACTTTTACTTATAACTTTTCTTTCTTTCTTTCTCTCTCTCTTTCTTTCTTTCTTTTTTTTTTCGTACGCTCCGCTAGAGGAAAAAAGGAAGGCTATGGCTATGGAAAAAAGAAACGGGGAGGACTCAAAATTCGAGATATGAGAGAAATAGCTTTTAACTCTCTTACGTGACGACAATCTTGAGTCGTCCCCTGAAAGTTAGTCAAAATACAGTCTAATTACCCCTGTAACAATACGGGTTCCTATTATGTATTTAAAATTGATGCTTGATAAAAGAAAGCAAATTTTATGCTTTTGCTAATTTGTGTATTTTTCATTTGATTTTAACTGAATTCAGCTCAATATAGATACTTTTCTTAGTTAAATGAAATTCAAAGTTCTTTATAACAATAAATATCACTGAATTGTGCTGTCAAGGACAAAAAGATTTCTATTAAAACTGGGACATTATAATGACGGCCTAAGTTTCAACTCAGTGAATTTTAGCGAATAGGATAGCAAGCGCTTCCCGGCCCACTCGACACCTGTTCCGTAAAAAAGATTCTTTCTAAGGTATTTTCCGTTTAGATTAGATTTGAAGCAACCCCCGTACCACCAGGCACCAGTGTAAGACACAGCACAGTTACAAGTATAGAGACATAAGTCATTATCTCTGTCTTTTGTGCTAAACGCCATGTTATTATGATATGCTAACGAATCTCCCGCCGTCCCTGAATATGAACCCACTTCGAGTCGATAACGCGCTTGCTCATCACTAACGTTAAACTTGCCATATTTGGCGTATTCTTTTACTCCATTCCAGTCTTCGAGCTCTACTCGCAAAGTACTGGGTCTAGCTGCCGTCAGTCTATGGATCTTGTCGTTTCCTAACCAGAACTCAGCCGTCAGCTGACCAAAGCCTGATTTGTAATCGTTCCATCCGCGATAGAAGTCTACCGAGCCATCTTGTCTTCTCTGGAACACGGCCCATCCTCCACCATCAGTGCGCATGTCACAATATACATTGAAGGATCCCTTACCGTCCGGGTTCACAGAGTACACTCCACTCTGAGCATAGCCTGACTTTAGTAATGTTAAACAATCTCGATCTGAAATAATAAAGACAATTTCTACAAGCTAAAAATGTGTATTTTCACTCGAAAAAGAGTCTAGTCTTCGACAAAAAGATAATGTTCTAGTATTTAGGGATCTAGCGCGTGAAAACGATTCGTTAAAGGTGTCAACTATTAAATATGTGCCACCATAAAACTATGGGACTTTTTGTTGTACTTTCTTGTTCTCAAACAAAAATAAACGAAAATTTGCATCGATAATCATGCATGAATATTGCTTGAAATATGGTATATTGAGTAGCGAGGCGCACGATTGACATCATCAAAATTTGCGTCGCAAATTTGCAAGACTCAGACGAAAAAGATAAGGAATGGTGCAAAGTTTCAAATTCTGAGGTGGTCCCTTCATTCCGGTTGGCACGAAGTGGACGGAATGTCGCTTTCCGTTTATGCATCTTCGCGGTTCCGAAAGATTTATTCGTGCCTTTTTGAATTCAAATTGTGAAGAAATAAACAATTACTAGCAAAATTTTCTGAAATGAAACGGCTAAAAGGTTATTTTTTGTTGTATAACAAAAGAGAAAAAAGTAAACCGCTCTTTTATCGTTGCTATCGTTTTAAGGTGACTCGACCCAGTTTTTTGGGGGGGTACCATCCTACTTTGAAGCTCTCTGGTATCCCCACCTTTACTTTTATCGTAAGTCTAACACATAGAATGGATAACATATAGATCAATCTACAATATAACATAAAATTTTCGGCGATCGGAGTAAATGTCACGTGGTTATAATGCCACGCCCCTTTGATGTCTGAGTCGAAAATCTGCTGTTGCCGGCATTTTTTTGTGAAAATCTCTCGGCTACACATAGTGCGCATTAGTGCCTTGCGCTGAACAGAGTTTAGCCAAAATCGCAAAGACCCAATTCGAGAAATTCAGCGGTTTCCAAATTTAGGTTATAATTTATGCAAAAATGATAAGCAAACTTTACACGATTATATCTAATAAACTACGAGATTCATCCCTTTATTTTGGGCATCGTTATAACAGATGGGTCCTAGCAAGTCAGCAAAACGCTTTAGGGCCTTGTAAATGCGCGCGATTTCAAGCAAAGCAAACATATAGAAATTATAGTTTTCGCTATTTGTTGACGTTTGTCAGCGTTTAAGAGTCCTTCTAACGAAAAAAACATTTTCTTAAAAATTCGTAGTTCTTTTTCCTTCAATTTTTTTCAGGGCCACAATTGATTAACTAACTACCCGGACTCTGAATTTCATGGTCATTGAAAAATTGTGACATTATCTTCTATAAGCCCAAACTTGAGTAAACATTGAAGATTTTTAGCGTTTTGCCTGAGTTTGTGCTTTGGGAGTTGTCTATTGATGTTTCTAGTCTGTCATTATACAGCATTCTTGCATGTTCAGCACGCGTGCAATGACCGCGCTTGGCTGACTTCCGAATGTTCACCGAGATATGGATGACGCAAAACATGGATGACGCAAAATTTTTTTGGCAAAAAGTGGTATCGAAAAGGAAGATTTATAGTTGTAAAAGAGGGAAGTCGATATTGATAGTCTTATATTCATTTGTCACTCACTCACGACAATAGTCGTCGTTTGACCAGGCTCTCCTTTGGTTCCCGGCATGCCAGCGGACCCTGTGTCTCCTTTTTGCCCCTTGATTCCAGCATCGCCTTTTGGCCCTATAGGTCCTGTGATCCCCTTTCGTCCGCTCTTTCCTGGTGGTCCTATCATACCTCTATCTCCTTTGGCTCCTGGCACACCGGTGAACCCTGTCTCTCCTTTTTGTCCTTTTGGTCCAACATCGCCTTTTGGTCCTACAGGTCCCATGATGCTCTTTCCTGGTGGTCCTATAATGCCTCTATCTCCTTTGGCTCCTGGCACACCGGTGAACCCTGTCTCTCCTTTTTGTCCTTTTGGTCCAACATCGCCTTTTGGTCCTACAGGTCCTTTGATGCTGTTTCCTGGTGGTCCTATAATGCCTCTATCTCCTTTGGCTCCTGGCACGCCGGTGAACCCTGTGCCTCCCTTTTGTCCTTTTTGTCCAGCTTGGCCTTTTGGCCCTACAGTTCCCATTTTGCCTTGCTTGCCGCTTTTTCCTGGGAATCCCATAATCCCTCTATCTCCTTTCTTTCCTCTTCTTCCTCGGTCTCCTTTCTCTCCCCTCGGTCCTGATGGACCTGGGGGCCCTGGGGCGCCTGACGGACAAGAGTCACCCTTTGATTGACAGAGCTGCACTCCCGCCTCTGTCAGCAGTTTGTTGATTTTACTGAGAGTATCCGCTGTGACTGTAGCACTCTTTGTGTCGTTGGCCAAATTCGCTTGACGCCTAACTCTTTCTCGATCATAGGAGTAAAAGTCTGTCAGCAAAATAAGAAAAAAAAAAGGAAAATTAGTGCTGAATTTGTTTAAGTTGGGAATGGTGCGTTTTCGGAATTTGAAATATAATTTAATAGTCAGTAGTAAGAACTTGATCGAAACTACTTTAGATAAGTTTTAAAAATTGTTAAGTTCTGCAGCATACATTACTACAAAAGGAATGCATATATGAAGTGAAGAAGGCAGCATTGCCGAAAAGTCGGTCAACACTCTTTTCAACAGCGTCGATTTTACAGTTTTCAAATTAACATTATGGAGAGTCTGTAGAGACTTTCTCATATTGAAATATAGACTATCCTCCACAACTCCTGCCTCACTTAACTGACCAGCTGCAAATCGTCCATGATATTTGAATTGTAACGACTTTGCGGTTCTTCATTAAATCCCCTGAAGAAGGACGGCTTGTACGTGCAAAATAAGCTAAAATTATGGAATCTCAAGTCGTTTTGGGTCTTTGCTGTTTTGTTATTAATGCTTATATTTCACTCAACTGAGTATAACTCCATCCAAACACAAGAAATTCAAGAAAATAACGAAAACCCTTGCGAAGAAAAAAAGAAAGGACGGAAGAACTTACACAACGTTCTTGAAAGCATTGACATAAAGTGACTCAAACGTCAGTTCGCGAATATACAAACTTTATGGTCGTCCTAGAAAAGCTATCATGTATATTTCAAGGTAAGCAGTTGGCAGGTGGCCTGTCCTGATTGTGCTCGACAACTGCCACCGACGTATGGCGTTTGGAGCAACTTTTTGTGGTTCTCTCCAACCCGTTTAAGTCAAGTTTTCTTTGTGCACATATAAAGCACGAAAAAGTCAACGATTTCATAGAAAACTACGAGTTATGTGATTTTCTTGAACATTAATTTATCAACTTTTTCAACACCGTTTACCTGACAACGTGTCGCATAGTGAGTTTGAGCTACCTCGGGGTTAGACTTAAGTGTATCCTTTAATTAATTTTCGCCCATATTTGTGAGCAACTCTGGAAGGCAGATGACCGATGTTAGCAACTGTGTTAAAGAACAAAAACTAAAGCTTTTAAGAGGGGGAGGAATGGTAGGATAAATCTCCTTCCTTCCTACTTTTTAGCTAATTTCTCCCTACTTTTTGGGGCAATTTCTCTCTCTTCCCTTTTGTTGGTGTAAAAGTTGGCGACAGTTAACACACGACTCCTGCACTTACAGGTGCTGATCCAGGATACATACTGACTGATTTCCTAAACGAGCGCCGGAAGGCGCAAGCTTTTAAGGGGGCCTGGGGAAATGCCCCTCCCGAAATTTTTTTTTATTTTAATTCCGCTAACCTGAATTTCTGAGTCATTTAAACATTTAGATATTGTCCAGTTCTATTCTACTAGGATGAAGCCTTTGAAATCAGCGGATTATTCCACCATGGTCAATTTCCATGTTGTAGTGGATATGGAGCAAGGCGAGTCCAAACCATTTTTCGGATTTCAACTTGGAAAGTTGAGGTTGTTTATCAAGAAAATCTGACCGATTTCCGTAAAACGGTGGAAACCGGTGTCAGTGGCTTAGTCGTAAAGGAAGTTCTCGATCTGACCTCCAGTGCTTTGCCTCTACGCCAACATGCCATCAAAAGAGGGCGAGTAACCACAGTATGTCACGTATACGACGATTTTCATGGAGAGAAAGCCCCTTTCTAAGAAAAATACTATATCTTATTTTAACAGAAAACTCTTTCCAATATTACGTTAGCAAGTATCTACAGTCCCATGGAACAGCCATGGGAAAAAAGATAGCCGTTACTTTTGCTAAAATCTATATGGCCAGAATAGAAAACCATATATTGAGACAGAGTTGTACTGAACCTATTGAACCGCTGTTTTGGAAAAGATATATCAACGACTGATGTGTTTTCCCTACGGGAAATGTCCAGACAAAATAGAGAGCTTTTTGGAAAAGGCAAATAACTTTCACTCTACTATAAAAGTCACGGCTGAGATGACAGAAACAGAGATCACTTTCTCGGACACAAAAATGTAGAAAGGGATTAGATTCAACAAGGTAGACGTGCAAACACACTGTTACACGTACTGAGCCAACACAAACCTTTCAGTACACGAACTTCTACTCGCGTCACCTACCAGGCGTGAAAAAAGCCCTGGGGCGGTGGGGCAATCCCTTATATGGGCTATACGGGGATGTGCCGCTGGACAGGGTATGGTTTTAGTCCTCTCTGTCCTAAACAGGGTATACAATTTCGCACGAGTCTTTCCTAAACAGTGTGCATGATTTGTGCGAGTCTTTTCTAATCATAAACAGGGTGTTTCATGCACGATTGATTTCGTCTTAGTAGGGAGTTGTCTTAAACAGTGTACTAAGATTGAGGGTGTTGTCCTAAACAGGGTATGTATTTTAGGAATTTTTTTTGTCCTAAACAGGGTTATAAACCCTTAGCGGCTCACCTATACCCAAATATTGGTCTAGTACCCCCTCCCCCCGGGGGAAGAAAGGTTTCATTTAAAGGAGAAGCGCTTAGGCTTCTAAGGACTAATTCTTCTCAAACCAATTTTGAGCAAAATATCAAAAATTTCGAAAATCTCCTGATAGAAAGACGCTACCCTGTCGCTATAATTGTCAGAAAGCACCGCTCTGAGGTAAAATTCCCCCACAGGAAAACACCCTTCAACAGAGAAACAAATACGCACGTAAGAAACGTCTTCTTACACAATATTACCCGGCTTTACCTAGCCTGAAGAAAGTACTAATGGGGAAATGGCACCTTATACAAAACCAACAACGGCTAAGAGAAATCTTTTAGGAGCCTCCCTCATATCATATTGCAAGGGAAAATCCCTAAAGGACCTGTTAGTTAAAGCGAAGTTCTGAAGGTCACTAACTTCCTTTACGACCAAGTGCAGGAGTCGTGTGTTGCTCGTTGCCAATTTTTAAACCATTCCATTCGGTAACGTCCGACAAAGGGAGTCCCAGGAGACCCAAGGGGAATCACAGTGTACGTCAAATTCCCCGTTCCGCCATCCCTTGTCATTACGCAGGTTAAAAAAGGCATAAAATTACCTTCTAATCGATATCTAGCTACTCCCAACATTTCATTTCTCCCTCCTCCCTACTGTTTTGGGCCATTTCTCCCTCCTTCCTATTCTGCTCCTCTCCCCTCTAACGTTTATACATAAAAAACCAAACAAACAAACAAAAAAATTCCGTAGCAACTTTTCAAATTTTAAGGTAGCAACGTCGGCAGAAAAAAAAATTGATTTGCACAAAGATTGGTAAATGACCGTTATGAAGCATGTATTTGATTACTGTGAAGAGTGTTTATTGTCACTGACTAGTACTTGGTATGATTTTCCTAAAAAAATCACAATGCTCTTTGAAGGAATTTTTGACCTTGAATGATTTTCTCCCAAACATGTTGTGCCTAGTTATTGTTGTTGCTTGTCTTGTTAGCAAGAAAATGCATTTGTGGCCGGTTCATGGTCTTTACTATGATATCATCCGTCTTTCGTCGCAAATTAAAGAAATGAATCTCCCCGAAAACATTAATTACGTTGTGCATATTGTTTAGTAGGTCTAACCAATAAGTTCAAATTAGTTCTACTTTTAAATAGACTGTACACTGTACTGTAAGTGCAATAGCACATTTCTTGCCTTTATCTGAGACATACTAAGTGTTGTACGAAAGGAAGACGTTCATATGTCCTGCTGCTTTGCAAAGGAAATGGCTTAACTCTCTCATTTGGTATCATCAGCGGTTTGCCATGGGAGAACATTTAACCGTTCTTTCAGCGGCTTCAGGGAAAGAATTGAGAGACTGACCCTTTATTTAGACTGCATAAAAATCAATTCTCAACTGTGTCAAGAAAATGCGAGTAATACATACCGTGAGAATTCTTGATAACCTCTGGCTTGACATTTGGACCGCTGGATGGTGGGTCAATACTCTTCGCTACCTTTTCAAGCGAGGTTAGCCTCTTCTTGTGATTGTTCAACTCTGATTCAACTCTCAAAAACCCAACACAGTACAGAACAATACCTAATGCTGAGATGGTATTAGCAAACGAAGGAAATCTTTGCTTTGGAGTCGTCATTTCTAAGCCAGTTTCACAGCTAGTCTTAATGATGTTATGAACGTTATGGTACGTGAGAGTGTTTTGTTGGGACGTACGCTTTTGCGTCGTTTATAGCATATCATTTTCTCACTTCCCATTTACAGAGGGCAGAGTTCATCACGTTAATTTCCGGGCTTATCTTGAGTGGATCAGATTATATCATGTCAACATTATACAAAGTTGTCTTTTGGGGTAAAATTGTTGGGTTAGGGGGGAGACTGGTGGGCAAGTTTTTTTGCTCGTGGAATTGAAGATCATTCAAAACTATACTCGTATCCGGTGAGGTGTGCTCACAACGATTTTCTGCATCAAACCAAACACTTCCGCAAATTATAAAAAGGTCGATGTTCTAATTTGTATTTACCTTTAGGAAGTGTATTTACTGTATTTAAAAACCAAGCCCAGTTATTCAATACGAAATACCTTTCCCTAGTTTGCGTCATTCAGTATATCTTTTTCAACTTCCTCTTTCAGATGGCAGAGTTCGTCACGTTTCAATGAGTTGTTGGTGGTGCATGAGCAACTTGCTAGTTAAGTAAAAAGGTACCAGGAGTCTAGAATCACATCTTGGTGTAGTTTATTATTCACAGCAGATCATACGTTTTCTTTCACGGTTTCTACTCAACTAGTACTCCAACTTATCAGCTTCCACCTAACCACGAAACTTAACAACAAACTGCGACACTTTTTGGGTTGTTTTGTAGGTACGCTCGGCCTTGGTGACTAACTAGCCTCCTAATTGCTCTGAATAAATTTCCTGCTG